GTAACGAAGTTTCTATTCTCTGTATGTCCTGTACATGTGGCAGAATTGACAATAAAGTTGACTTTGACTTTGACTTTGATCTTGGAATTGTTGGATTATTCTGATGCAGTTGAAACCAGTTTTTTAGTAAAATGGCTAGATGTTACAATGCCTGATAATGCATTGCTTTAAATGGAGAAAATCTTGAGGGATGGCTGTTATGAGAAAAGGCAGCCCAGAAACTTTACCAACGGGACACGTCGTTGTGTGCCTCAACTTTCGGTCTTTTACCCAAACTTATCTGCCATTTTTCCTCTCTTGGTTAGGTTTAGGGATCAGAGATCTGATCTAGGTTATCATATTAAAATTTGGGACACATCGTCAATAGTGGACATTGGATTCATCAGGTGTTTCAGCCATTATCACTAGACACCCTCATCCATTGAGGCCCTGCAGGGTTGATCAGGCCCCGGAGTGTGTCAGTGGTTTATGTTAAATTGTTATTTCTCTTCTTCTTTCTTCTGTTTAGTATTTTGTCTTAGGCCTTTTTATTGACTTGATACAAGTGAGTTCTGTTTCCTTTTTATAGTCCCTCAAGGTGACAACGTCGTATGTTTTAGAAAGATATTAATAGTTTGATTATAACTAATTTCAGTTTATACCCAAAATATCTAACCAGCTTTAGTCACCGAAGTATTGTCCGCTAGTACTAATGGTATCAGTATTGAAAGTTAATATTTGTATATATGCCACTGTTATGTCACTTAGCTGTGTATCTGTGTAATTTAGGCATGAAATCAGCAAAATCTGTAAAACTGGTCATTTAAGCTATGAGCATGTTAGCTCTTTTAAAGCTTTAAGCCAATGAGTGATAGTGATTGCAGGCTGGTGCCACAACAGTACAGTACATTTAACACTTGAGTTGATTGATTTTATTGGTCTGAGACTTAGGTGGTGCAGAGCAGCACCTCATTGCGAGACTGACACAGAAAACTGCGTGACTGACCTGACACATTCAATTTTAGCATGCAAGCCAATAAATCAATTATAAAAAGGATAATGAATTACTCTAAATTGCTCTAAATTACTCCATGTCATGATGGTTCCTGTCAGATAAAATGCTGACATTTTGTAAAATAAACCACATTTTTGTTTTAGTTAACAGCCCAGTTTATGTTAATGTTTTAGATATAATGGGCAATCCGTTTCAGTTAAAATGGGTCACCATTTGAATTGAGTTTCAGAAGATATTCTATTAATTCTAATAAATAATGGGATGTGAAACGTTTCAAACTAGCAAGACTTAGGGGTTAGCCTGAGAGACTCAGCTCAGGGTGAAATTTTTCCTCTCATTTCCTGCGCGAACAACACTCGCTTCAGCTTTAACAGATAGCTCAGCCCATGTCAAACACGTTCAGTCCGTTGGAATAATATTACAAACCAGGTACAATATCTTTCTGAAGACAGACAGCTCGTTAATGTAGTTCTAGTTTAATGTCAGTCAACAAGTGCCTAAGTTTACTTTGTTGTCTTTTTGGTTTGTTATCCTAGCTAGCTCATTAGCTAAGTCGCTAGCTGTTTAGCGCCAGCTCCCAGCTCCCCGACGCTGGTTTAATTGCGTTAAATACCCTTACTAACAGTTTGTATGTGACTGACAGCTGTGTTGTCTGATACTCTACGCGACCGGAGTGAAAAAGAAGATTGGGTAAGTGAAGTTTCACATAGTAATGCAGCTACATTACCTGCCAGATGGGCTTAGAATTAGTACGGGAGTCATGTTTGACCCTGTTTGTTTAGTTGGGGAGAAAATAAGATGTTTATAACGTTACCTATAACACAGCTGGGGCGATCTGGTGCTTTTGGCTAAAATTGACGACTGGCGTTTATACTTTAATTAATCTACATTTGTGTTGAGTCCATTGCCTCGGTAATGCGGATGACGTAATGTTTTCCTCCATTCCTGTACGTGAGCTCAAAAATCACTTACATTTTATCTTTGACTCGTGAAGTCTATCATCAGGTCAGATACCCATTTCCCACACATGCTGGACTTGGATTTAGACGTTGTATTAAAGTGAAAATGAAAGCTTACAGCCTGGGCCGCCTAAAGGGCGCTGAGGCCTGGTCTGCCATGTGTCATGTGATGAAGAATGCCATGGTGGTCATCGGCATATTGATGTTCAACATTAATAACGGTTTAGTTAAACAAGAAATGTGCTTATATGTGATGTAATGTTGATGTGTTTCTGCAGTGATGGTGCAGCCACAACCCGATGGCCCCATGCAGTGGGAGATGTCCGGAGAAGAGAGTGGAGGGACCCTGAGGGTCCCACCAGAGCTTGCAGCCAATGAAGTGGTGACCAGATTGTTGAGTGACAACCAGCAGCTTAGAGGTAAGCGTGTTCAGACTAAAAAAAGGTCTCTTAAAAGAATATCGCTGCACTGAGTGATGAGCTAAAACAGCAGATGCAGAAAGAAAGAAAGAAAGAAAGAAAGAAGAAAATCTTGTCCTTTAAAAGTCATTTTAGAAGCATATTTGTGTGGTTCATTATTTTAAAGCATTTATCTACATTAACTCTTCGATTCAGTGGTCACTGGGATATACAAACTGTATGCAGAGATAACACATACTTTCAAAGGTTACAGACAAGCTTTTTTTCCCCCTAGAAGTTCTGTTTCTATAAGCATCTTGGCTCTTAAAGTGTCACATCTCATTCTTACAATGTCTCTGGTGTTAGTCACATTTGTATGGTAAGGTGAAGACCCTACAGCATAATAGAGGGAAAACCCCAAAGAGCAGACAATCCCCTATGAGCAAGTATCTGATGATGTTGGTGAGGCAGAACTATCATTTAACAGGAAAAGACGTGCGATTTGTACATTTGTTAAAAACCTCAATCTATTTTCAGATTTCCTAGTGTAATGAAATCTATAGATGTGTACGGAGATATTAATGGCTGAAAAATAGAAAGTTCATGAGTTACAGATATACTTGTGCCGCTGTAGATGGAAATATCTGTGGGAACGCTTTCTCTCTAACTACAGGTCATTTACACACTTGTATACTCAATTCCAGGTCTCAGTTTGCAAGCACATGTTACTTAAGATACAAATTCCTTTATTCACATTTACAAATTAGTAAGCATTTATGGAGACCTAATGATGCATGCAATGAAGTTGAACAATTCTTCACACCTGTTTGCAAGTGTTTTGACTACAACAGATGCCTCACAAAGCAGCAGGATCCCCCTTTACCTACACCACAAATGCAGACAGAAAAACATAAGCTAGATCAGCAGAAACATGGAGGCGTTGATTCAATGAGAGCATCCTCCTGCTCTCTTGATATTTTACATGGATCTTTGTTTAAAAATGTCTTTCAGTCTATCGGTCACTGTGTGCTTACAATTATCAATACCTCACTGATTTCCGGTCAGGTCCCTGTTTATTGTAAGAATGCTGTTATTCACCCACTGTTAAAAAAAAACCTAAGCTTGACGCTACAGACCAATTTCAAAATTACCGTTCATTGCTAAGATTTTAGAAAAGGTTGTGGCTAAGCAGTTTATAGCTGTTCTAGATGAATACAGCATTCTGGATGAATTCCAATCTGGCTTTTGTAGATCTCACTCTACTGAAACTACACTTCTTAGAGTCTCCAACGACATTTTGATGAGATGTGATGCAGGAGAATGCTCCGTTTTGTTGATGTTGGACCTGACCTCTGCCTTTGATACTGTGGACCATCATATTCTGCTAGATAGGCTGAGATACTGGCTGGGTATATCAGGGGCTCCTCTTCAGCACTTACTGAGCACTTTTAAGGACATTTCGTATCACTGCTATGCAGATGATATTCAGTTATATATCTCCTTTAAGCCCCATGATGTTTCCAAGCTACAGATTTTGCATAGGTGCATAGACTCCATTAGAGGTTGGATGGCTGGTAGAGCTGGGCAATATGAGATTTTTTCATATCACGATATGTTTTTTTCATTTCAGGCGATAACGATATCTTTAACGATATAAGCCAAATAACTATATTTGTAAGATTTAAATGTGCCGTTGCTCACAAGTAAAATGTGAAATAATCAGCAGCTTGTTTTTATTTAAATATTTATTTCCCATAATAAGTTCAACAGGGTAGATGTACTTAAGGAACATGAGACTTTTTCAGATAAATAAAGGCAAATATTGCAAACTACACAAAAGGCAGCCGCTAAAGCGTTTAAGTTTCAAAATAGAACAAACGAAACAGACTAAATTGTCAATTCCACTTAGAAACAAAATATTAATTCTAAAAATAAATCTTAGTTTGTTTTACAGAAGAACAGACAAAACTGACTAACTTTTGTCAATATCAAATAACCTGAGAACTAAAAGGAAATTCTGAATCTCTCCTTGTTGTATAGCTTAGCTTTTCAAACAGTTTTAACAGTTACTTTAGTCTGACAAAAGCCGAATGACGAATTAGCGCTTCCAGTCAGAGACTGAGGCTACGTCCACGCGTACACGGGTATTTTTGAAAACGGAGATTTTCCGTTTTCGTTTTAAAAATAATCCCGTCCACACATAAAGGGAGAAATGAAAGAAAACGCTGCTATGAACATGCCAAAGCAGCAGGTGGCGCTCGATTCCTAACCGTGCAGAAATGTTGGCCAATCAGAAGTCTAGAAGCCTCGGTGGGAAAAAGTAAACAAAGCTGGGGCATAGAAGCAGAACAGTCGTATATGTGGACGGACAGTAACTGTGTGTATATGTAAGCATTTAAACACTGCAGAGAGTAGAATTAACAGTAAGAGTATTGTAGAAATTCATTTCACCGAAACAATAACGTGGCGCACAGTGTGACGCATGCACCAGTTTATTGTATTTCCAGACTTGCTTTCGGCACAATTTACAGTGCACGCTACTCTGTTTTTTGTCAGACTTGAAATAGCCGAAATACCTTCACACTACGGAACTTCTATGGCTCTTCCGTTCGACAATCTCTCCGGCATTGGAACCATCATCTGTTTTCTCTTCGGTCACGCTCGGTTGATTTTTCTAGTCGGCACACTCATTTCCTCCATTACGCGCTGGCTCCATTACCCGCTGGCTGCTTCCCAAACAAACACACGTGCGGCTTGGCACTTGTGCTGTACGTAACAAGTCACGCGACGTGACGCTGCGGCTGTGATTGGTTTGGCTCTGCGCTACTTAATTTGGATTGGCTGACTTTTTTTTTTTTTTTTAAGAGGACAAGAGCGGCGAGGTCTATCGCGATAGCTTAATTTCTCTATCGAGTAAAAGTTATATCGCGATACATATCGTTATCGTTCTATCGCCCAGCTCTAATGGCTGGAAACTTTCTTCAACTAAATGAGGAGAAGACTGAAGTCCTTGTTTATGCTCCTAAAACATTTGTTCCTAGTGTTATGGAAAACTTGGGTCCACTTGCTACATTTGCCAAACCTTCTACCAGGAACCTTGGTGTTACTATTGACTCAGCTCTGAATTTGGACACTCATTTTAAAGCTCTGGTCCGCTCCTGTTTTTATCACTTGAGAAACATTGCTAAGCTGAGTCCCATTGTATCGCGCTCCGAATTAGAAATTGTCATTCATGCATTTGTTTAATCTCGTTTGGATTATTGTAATTCTTTGTTTACTTGTTTATGTAAAGCCTCTTTGGAGCATCTGCAAGTTGTTCAGAACGCTGCTGCAAAGCTTCTGACCAAGTCCTCCAACTACTCCCATGTCACACCCCTGCTGATTCAGCTGCACTGGCTCCCTCTTAAATTCAGAATCCACTTTAAGGTTTTGACCTTGACTTTCAGGGCTCTGCATGGACAAGCACCAACATATATAAGTGAACTTTTACATCCATACATTCCCAGCAGGTCCCTGAGGTCACGTGACCAGGGCTTGCTGGTTGTCCAAAACACAAGGCTGAAAACAAAAGGTGACAAAGCTTTTGTAACTGTGGCCCCCAGACTGTGGAACTCTCTCCCTTTGAGCCTGAGATCTGTGGACTCAGTGGTCGCTTTTAAAAAAACAGCTAAAAACTCATCTTTTTAAACCTGCTTTTGGTTGATTTTTATGTTTTAGCTTATGTGAAGCACTTTGAGATTTTTATCTTGAAAGGTGCTATATAAGTAAAATTTTACTTTACTTTACACACCTTGTGAGTCACAGCACTTTAACTGTGTCCAGTATATAGTATGGTATGCTCTGTATGCTTTCTCTCTCAAGATAAGTGCACAAAAAAATACTTTATTAATGTAAATAATGTGGTGTGTTTACTGAGTACACATTACTGTTTCAAAGGAACATTTAAACAAAGTATTTTCAGTCATTCACTGTTGAGTTTATAGAGTGTAAAGAGGAAGATTTCTATATTCAGTTATACAGCAAACTATCTGAAGTTAACTAGCATTAGTTGGCGTTAACCTTTATATGCTGCAGCTCATGTAAATTAATTCAACTGAGAAATGTTTTTACTGCTAATAAAGTTGAACATTTATTTTGTCAACATTTGTATAATGGTAAACATGACTAATAGACACAGTAGCGTAACAGGAAGGCGAGGAAAGAGTCAGCAAACTGAGTCTGTGTCATTATTTAAACTCTATGCTAGGGCTGCTCAATTAATCGAATTTTAATCACGATTACGATCTGGGCTTTCACAGATCATTAAAAATGACTGAGCCGATTATTAGCACCTCCCTCGTGCTTTACTCTCGTGCTGCTCCGTGCGGCAAATCGAGCGCACCTCTCTGCATTTCGAACACACGTCACAACAATTAAGAGGACCCGAGGGAAGCTCGGAAAGCTAAGCAGAAGTTATTTGGAGAGGAGAGTGACTGCTAGTGATGTGCAATACCACGGATTTCCTTTCCGATCCGATACCAAGTACTTTTCAGGGTGGTATCGACGATACTGATCCGATACTTTATACAAAAAAACGTATTTTATTTATTGTATCTCAAATTATAGCGTCATAATGATTACAGGTCATCAGATTACTTGTTCTTATCACTTAATAGTGCATAGTTCATCATATGGAAATAAAAAAAACTGAAGTTGTGCGCTATTTGAACATGTTGCCTGCCTGCAGCACTAAAGGACTCTGTGAGAGACGTGTGTCTCGCCCTAGCAGCACCTGTCCCTCTCCTCCTCTTCAGTTCGTCTCAACATACGCTACTCATATTCTGTGATATGATTTACTCTGAGGTGTTTGACAAGGTTAGTGATGTTGCCACAACCAAACATGCCAACCCTCCCGATTTTTCCGGGAGAATCCCGGAGCCACCATTCTCCCGAATTTCCACCTGGACAACAAAATTGAAAAACCATATCGCAGAATTCATAGCGCGGCCGAGCCAATTCCAGTTTCCAACAATGGCGGCAGCTACTTAGTTTTAATATTACTATTATTTCTCTTTCTGGGTCGCAAAAAAACCCCAACTTTTAACATGTTTTCAGGTGAGAATGTAGCTGTGTAAACTTCAATTATCTGAGCCGATCGACACATCGTCTTCAAAACCCGCAGGCTTTCACTACTCGGGTTAAACATGATATATAAGTCACTTTGATAACTTAAAAATGTTATTGTTTGGGTTTTACAGTGTTTTGTTTGTTCGTGAGTAAATCGGTTTGGCTGAGATTAAAGTTATTAGATTAGATTAAATTAAATTTAACTTTATTAATCCCTCAGGTGGGTTCCTCCGGGGTTTTCACACAGCTGAATAAACATCAAACAGAAAACTAATTAAAGAAAGTGTGAGACGGTCGAGAGTTTACGCCAGCGCCTGGTTATATTTTAGATAGCAAGGAGCAGACGGCTGAGTTTCACTCCACCGAGGGAACTCATGACGTACTACCCGGCTTTCTTTAGACCGTGAAGGGCGGGTCCTCAGGTGGAAGCAGCCTCTGAATTTGGACACCCCCGCTGTTTCGGTGACATTTAACGTATTTTATCCGATAAATAAACTCTGTAAAATGTGCCCTTTTGACTGTCTCCCTAATTCTGAGGTCTCAAGGTTGGGAAAGTATAGCCACAACACCTCACTCTTGGAGCACTTTTTTGCCACATGTATTGCAAACCATGTCTCAGCTGTTTGTGGAGGTAAAATATGTCCGCACAATTAGGCTCAGCCATTGTTGTGAGTGCGCGCGCCAAGGGGCTGCGAGCCATTTATACAGCCGTATTTCGCACATGACTAGGAAAGGCAGAAGAGGAAGTAGTTCCTTTGAATGTAGAGAATCCGAATGTTATAGTTTCTTTCCACTGTGTTGCTGTTAGTGATAAACTACAAATTAACCCTAAATGACTAAAAATATCTATATTTTAATGTGAGAATCGATTCTAGAACATAAATGACTGGTATCGGAGGAATCGATATTTCAGGATCGATCCGCACATCACTAGTGACTGCCGTTGGTTGAAAAGAGAGGTAAAAAAAACTTCAGTGGTGTGGAAACATTATGGGTTCGCAGAGTCAGACGTGGATCAAGTAGACATAGTGTGTAAACTTTGCTACGGTGTCGTAGCTGCACCACAGAGCAACACTGCAAAGTTCTCTAAACATAGATGTTTACATTTTTCATTTATTTCTTATATTGCAAACATTTGCACTGTTATCAGTATTTGCACACTATTTTATATTATTTTTTAAAGTCATTATTCAATACATTGTTATTGTTAACCCTTTAAAGCCGGTCAGAGTGGCACGCTCCGTTTTGCATAACTATTTTTAAATCCCTGTAGAACCATAACTGCGTAAGCTAGCGCAATAATTTTTTTGCATATGAAACCGGAGTTGTTGTACTTACATCTTATGCCATCAGCTTGTCCTCGGTCACGGTTTCCCTCCACATAAAGCTTTGCAAAAATTGCATAAAAGGGCTTGCAGGAACAAAAACATAATATTCCAGAAACACGCTTTGCCGATCCGATCAGCTGTTCGTTACACTTCCCACATTGAAAAAGACGTCAACGCGAACTATTGCATGTCCGCCATTTCCTGCCCGAAACCGGAAGTGACGTAATTTTCGCGGAAAATGTCGTTTTTTACTTGTAGGCCTTAAAAGCCTACAAGTAAGAAAAACTACAGTTTCTGGAATGCTTAGAACTCGAATTGCACTGCTGGAAATAGTTTATTTTGATGCACATGCTGTTTTCTTTGCGAATTTGCATCACAGGATTGTTTTTTGTTTTTCCTGCCGTGTATAAAAATTGCTGCATCTCCAAAATAAAACTATGAAGACACTCAAAATAAATTTCCTGTTGTTGTAAACTAATTTTTGCAAATTTTTTATATTTAAAGTTTTGATGGATAAACCTCTTTAATTTCTCCAATTCGAAATATATGTAAAAAAATTTTTGTAGTTTTTTGCACTTTTTTGCAATTAATGTAGTTACTATGGACTTAATGCATACATATTATTAAAATATGGGCTATAACAGTTGTATTGATGTATAGCAACTTGAAATGCTCCCAAAAATGGCACTACAACATGTAAAAAAATAATATAAGCTCTGGCGGACTTGGTTCTATGGTAGGTCTTAAAGGGTTAAATAAATATCGTCAAATAATCAAGATCTCAATTTCAGTGAAAATAATCGTGATTATCATTTTTGCCATAATCGAGCAGCCCTACTCTATGCTCATGTTGACATCAGCTATTGTTGTTAGTCAGTTAGGAAAGGGTGTCATAAAAATAAAAGTCATATCTGAGTGCATTTCCAAGAACTGAGCAAGAGTTTGTAAAAGTATAATTAGATTTGATGTGTCAGTGGAACAGTTTTTCAGTTAAGCAAATTATATTTATTAACATTAATTCAAGGAAACCATCAGCAAACTAATTCAGTTACTCAGTAATATCATTAACACGCAGTCGTGTGAAAAGCATAATTTTCACACACAGAAAGTACACCCTTACAGCAGGTGTGACCATTTCTAAAAAAATTTAAGGTTGCTGGTTTTCAGGTGCATGTTAACACAGGAGTGTCCTATCAAATTTACCCCAAGGTCAGTGCATGCAATGCTAAGGGAGATTACAAAACCCTGAAAGCTACTTCTCAGACTCCACCGGCTTCAATTAGCATGTTTAAATTCATGGATTGACAATTAGAAAAGGACTAAAGGAGTATGGCTGTACTGGAATGGTTCCCAGGAGAAAACTTCCTCTCGCTTAAAAAAAAGATGGGAGCATAGCTTAGCTTTGCAAAGTTGCCTCTGAACAAATCACAGGAACTCTGAAACAATGTCTTTGGATAGATGAGAGCAAAGTGGAGATTGTGTTTGGTTATAATGCACAGTGGCACATTTGGTGAAAGTATTATAGAGTCAAAGCTGAGGCTCTCTATCTGACAGCTAAAGCTTAGCGTAAAGTGGGGTCATGCAACAATGGGACAGTGATCTCAACCACATCGCCAAATCTACACTAAAAAACCTCAGAAGAATCAAAGCGTTGCAGTGGCCGAAAGTCCAGACATCAGCCTGCCTGAAATGATGTGTTAGGACTACAAGAGAGCTGTGCTTAAACAAGTGTACAACTAAGTGAAGTGGAGCAAAGAGGAATCAGTGAAATATCCTCCACAATCGTGTGAGAGACTGATAGTCAGGTACAGATTTCTGCAAGCTACTGAATCACAGTTTCACAGATTTGTCTTTTACAGGACTTTGCAGAGCCTGTGAAATGATTCTTTTTCACATGACTGTATTTAGTATATATTAGTCTCCCCCATCTCCTTTTACCACCTCATTCTGTTCCCACAGAGGCGCTGCGGCGGAGCAACCTGGCCTTGCGTCAGCGCTGTGAGGAGATGGAGGGATGGCAACGAAGGACAAAAGAGGAACGAGAGTTTCTCAGCTGTCGCTTCCAAGAAGCAAGGTCCCTGGTGGAGAGGCTGGCCCAGGAGAACCACTCCTTACAGAGCATGGTGAACGGACCTGGCTCCTCCAACACCTCGTCTAATCACTGCTGCAGCTCCAGCCAGACTGAAAACCCGCAGCTACGGACAGCCAGGAATGGACCAGTGGACGGACCACAGGTTGGCTAGCTGGAAATTTATAATTATTAGTCATGTTTCCATTTACCTACTTTCAAATTTACAAAGGCAAGCAGACATGCACCAAATCTGTGTGTCCTGTAGATGTATATAAGGCAATCCTTACTCACACGGGTCTTTGTGTGGCCCCTCAGTACAGAAACAAACTGTTTTAGCTCATCCCCCCTTTAAGCTAGCTTTCTTTTGATTGGCTGTTCCTCAGTAACGAAATGCTTGGGTAATAGGTGGTTGGGATTTTTTTGTATAATAGCCAGAGATTAACATATTAGGGATATCCGCTCATATACAGAGCAAAGATTTTAAAAAAGGTCTTCTTTTTTTAAATTTTTTAATCCTGTTTAATACGAGCCTCCATATATATCATGGGAAAGGTGAGAAATGGACTTTTAATCTTTTCCATTATGTCTCTCAGACTCTAGATCAGCGAGAAAAGAAGAGAGTCGAAGATACAGAGCAATGCACACAGACATCACCGCCTCGCAGCCTGGTAAGATGTTTGTGTGTGTGTTTGTGGCTCATGTTCATGTGCTGTCATGGTCAGTCAAACTCTGTTTTTTTTTTCTGCTCATATTTTTCATCTAATCAGTGTGTCTGTGTGTCTAGGATAACACAAGTGTGCATAGCTCATTGAGTTACGCACAATCCTCTCCCCCCATATCATTTTCAGATGAACTGGGAGATATAATGGGCAATGACAATAGCCAGGTGAGCCCGGTCACTCCCATCCTAATTCTACCAGTCAGATCTCTAACGCTGCACCTGCAGCCCTCACACATCCAGTTTGAGCTTTCCTCACCTAATCTACAAACAGTGGCTGAGGTCAAAAATTGTAACTAATAGAAAATGTGACTAAAATGACATTGGCAGCAACTGAAGTGTGTTGGACTGTGTTTTACATTCAGCAGCATAAATTTTGAGGTCAAACGTGGGGGGTTTTTGGACAACACTCAAATAAAATTTGGAAAAGACAGTAACACAGTTTATCCCAATCACAACCTCTCCTTTTCTCCTTATCCACATGGTGTTGGATGTTTCGGTGTAGTTTCAGTGCTGAAGCCCACAACGAACACGATCCATTTTTCTCATTCTTCTCTGTATGTTCATCTATTTAACCCATCTCTATGCCACTTCCATGTTTTTCTCTGGAGCCTGTGGAAGGTGCAAACGAGTTCCTGCAGCTGCTGAAGAGCCACAAAGAGAAACTGGAGGAAGGGATGCGAGAGCTGAGAAGGAAAAATGAGGAGCTAGAGAAGCAGAGGGACGAGGGAGAGAAAGAGAAGGAGCGAATGCTTCACTGCATAGACCAGCTCCGGGGTAAACTGGCCCAGGCACAGGTAACGTTGATATCCAGGCACATAAAAGTCTTTCAGATGAGTCACTATGGTAAGGTAGTAATATAGATGATCCTGGCAGGCGTAAAGGGAACATTTACTAGCAAAACAATGTGTGAATGTTCTGTTTCTGTCGCATAACTTTCCAGATTTGTATAGCATGAACTGCCACTTGGCCTTGAATGTAACACCCAGATGCTACTGTAGATAATATAGAAGTTAGTTGGCATGTTAAGGTAAAAGTTAATATGAAATCACAAATACAATAATAAGTAAAATCGGTAAAAATATTAATAATATAAATACCAAATATTAGCAATGATTTATCGGTAATGTTACTGTACCGTGTAGCTAAATGTGCTGACCTCTATCATTTCGCTCACGGATGCTGCTGCATGTAATCATATTTGAAATATGATTGAGGTGTTTCAGGTCTTGGATTGGTAGTCAGACAAATCAGCTTCATGGTAAACAAAAACTAATCACATCAAAAATAATAAAATAATTTTGAGTGGCCTTCCTAAAGCCATGACAGAACAACACTGTTTAGGTTACGTTGAAGATTCATGTCTCAGTTCCACCTGGTGGCTTTCAGCCTCCTTGTGTGTTCTTAGCATAAATGTTAAATAGCAATTAGCACTACAGTTAATAATAAGATTTGAAAACATGAATAAAGAAGATTTAAAAAATGATAAAAATGTTATCAGAAGAAATCTCCTCACAAAGTAATGGCTTGTTTTCCTCTGTTGCATTTTGCGTGTCACTGGTAGATGTGACCTTTCACTGCTTGCAAATTACAAAAGAGATAACGTGATGATAAACACAATCTGTTTTGTCGTCTGTGACGTGGAAAAACTTGTATGACTGTTTTACAGACGAACAATGTTACTGAGGAGGTTGTCCAGCAGCGCTCTGAGGCACAGCACTCGTCCGACTGGTATGAAGCATTTTCACTTAAGCGCACTGTTGGAAACTAACAGCACTAACTTTACTTTCTGCTAAACCTTTAACACAGTTCTGTTTAATGATACAGAATATCTGCAGAGAATTGCTCTCTTTTGGAAAATGACACCAGCATGCTTTTTGATTGCTTAAAACAACAAAAGCCTCACTTTTGAGATGCTGTCTTCCTTCTCCTTCCTCTCTTTCTGTTCCTTTTTTCCAGCTCTAGCCTGGCTAAGCTCACAGAGCAACTTCAGGCCACACAGGGCAGGTGAGCCCGCAGTTCTGTGTGGCTTTGTCTTTCTCACTGTTTGCACGTCTGCTTCCTGCTCTGCTGTCTTCTCCATCACTGCAGGAGGTCTACCTGTGTGTCTCTTATTCTGAAAAAAGCCTGTTTTCCTTGTTTGTTTGTTTGTTTTAGGAAATGTATTTGTTCTTATTTCATTTATTTTATTAGAGCTGCCAAACTTCAGCTCACAGACCAATAACACAATAATGTTGTAACACAACAGCAATGATTTGTCCAGTGTCATCTAGTATTTTATCTCATTCATGATTTCCAAAAGTTATTAAAAGACATCCTATAGGGCTGCACGATTAATCGTTAGAAAATCGCGATCTCGATTCATACTTATGTGCGATCTCATTTCCAAATGACGACGAATTAAAAAAAAAAAAAAAGACGACGATTGTACCGCATTTTGATCCGGGACGTAATCTGCATGAAAACAAGCGCTCACTCTTCCTGCTCAACAAATGGCAAGGGCGGAGCCTTATACCACGTGATACAGAAGCTGTGCCATGTGATGCTAAAATTAGCAGGGGAAAAAACAACGGAGAGAGTGACAGGAGAAAATCCATCCCGGTCAACCACCCAAACATCAATAACAGGAACCTTATACAATGCTTCACGTCGAACTCCCGCAGGCACAAAGAAATTACGGAGGCTATCACTTATCACCTGACCAAAGATATGGCTCCCATCAACACTGTGCAAAACGAGGGATTTAGGAAAATGATCAACACCCTAGACAAACGCTACACAGTGCCGTCCAACAACTATTTTTCTATTGTTGCACTACCTGCTCTATACACGCAGTGTCGAGCAACGGTGGAGACGGAATTATAAGCAGTACAACATTTTGCGGCAACAACAAAATGTGAGACATTTATTGTTTTTATGTTTATTTATTGTTTTTATGTTCAATCTCAACTGTTACGAAGTTGATGAGCAGTTAATAAGTGCAATAAATATTTATACTGGAAAAGAAAATCGTGATCTCAATTCTAAGCCAAAAAATCGGGATTCTCATTTTATGCAAAATTGTGCAGCCCTAACATCCTATAAATGTTTAATCCAGTAATGTACAAGTACAATATTTAGATTTTCTTACTACTTTAAATTAATTTATTTTTATGTCAAATCAACCGGTCTTTCAAATTGTGCTTTTATAGAAAAGATCAGCTCTTTGCATCTAATATATAATGATATGCAGTATATTGTATATTGTATATACTGTTTGTATTAGACAGTAATTTAAAAAGGGCATTCCTATATTTATTTATTTATTTATTTATTTATTTTTCAATATTTGTCACTGTCACTGCCTGTTACAAGTGATTTTTATTTTGTAGGTATCGGGAGCTGGAGGAGAAGCTTGATTACCTGCAGAAGAGCTCAGCTCAGAGAGACAGAACTGAAGCCCTGCTCAAACAGAAGGACAAGGACTGTGCCCAGGTATCACATGTGACTAGCTGTCATTTTTACTCTGAAAGCATAAAAAAATCTTCTACCTCCTATACTTTTAATTCTAGCAAGCGGAGTGCAAAAAAGTTTGTTTGTGTTTTTGTAGCTGGCCAAGGACTGCGAGGCCCTGAAAGCTCAGGCAACTTCCCTGCTAGGAGAACTACAGGAAAGACAAAGCTGGTTGGACAAAAGTGAGCATGAACGCGTACTCCTGGAAGACAAGTAAGTTGTTACATCACCTGCAATAGATCCATACACAGAATTATGTCTTAGTTCACCCTTTAGGTGTGCTCATGTGTTTTGTTTTGTTTTTGCCTGTGTGCAGATTAAGCAGTAAAATAAAGGCCCTGCAGGTGGCAGAGCGGGAGCTTGAACAGCAGAAGAAACAGCATCATGTAGCCATGGACAAGCTGCTGCTGCAAACCCAGAGCTTGGAGCAGGCCCTGAAGTCAGAGAGACATGTTGTCACTGAGGAGAAGTGAGTCCAAGACGCGTACAGATAGAAGAAGCCAACATGATTCATATGTTTCTGCACTGTTGTGCTATTTAGAAAGATGTATTTGAACGGAGGAACATGCATTAAAAAAATGTAGAAGCTTTTAACTGCTCCCTTATTTAACAAGGGGCCACCAGAGTGAACGGATATGTATGTTTGATTTGGCAGTTTTTACATCGGATGCCCTTCCTGACACAAGCCTCCCATTTTATCCGAGCTTAGGACTTAAGGGTACACTAGCTTGTGATGACCCTGAATAATTACTTTACTATTTAATCTTTTGTGCAAAAAAGTGGTTCTATATTAGAATCGGAATCAGAACCTTTATTGTCATTGTCACAGGTACAACGAAATTAAGAATGTTCCCCGATCATTGCATTACACTATTGATGCATTACACTGGTAATTATACACAATTATAACCTAATGGGTTTTAACCCAAATTGTGGTCAAAGTCATATTTGTGATTTTTATGGGCAATACCTGTGAACTGTGATAGATCACTAGCCAGACAGACTGATTGGTAATAGCTCTGTGTTGTTAACAGTCTCTTTGGTCATTCCTCCTTTTGGTTTATTGAACGTTTACCAATATATTGCACTTTATTTCCTCAGGAAAAAACTGACACAGCTACAGCATGCATACACGTGTCTCTTTAGAGACTATGATTCTAAACTGAAGAATGAGGTAAAAATAAAAACCCAACCAAACAAACATTAAATTAAAAAAGGTTTTTACACTCATTAGTTTTGGAATACCTTGGGGGTCAAGTCCAAACATGAATCTGTGTTTATGCATTCCAGGGTGGAGATCTGTGCTGCCGACTGGAGGAGGCTGAGCGAGCGCTGGCCCTGAAGCAGGACCTGATTGATAAACTGAAGGAAGAGGTGGAGCAACAGAAAGGCTCCCTGGAAACAATTCCTGTCCTTACTGCACAGGTATTCCTTCTTAGCTGTTGAGCTGACTTATAAAGTGGACACTTGACAGGTCTGGTAGATGACAGTGACTATGGACACATATTGACAGTTGAAGTAAACAACGGACTGACAGTCTACAGATGAACAGCGGCCAATGTAGCTAAGTTTATGCATAGAACGCAATTTGCAGTCTACTGACATCTAGTGGTGAGATTTTACACTGTAACTTTAAATAAATAAAAAATGATTGCATTACTTTTTGAAAATTTCTATAAATTGGGAGATATTAGAGATATGATTTCTTTAGTCCACGATAGTGGTGTAGTGAATCTCATTGTCACGACCCAAGTGGGATGTAATCAATGTGGAGCAAAAATGCTCAAATGCTAATCGCAGCATCTTGAATCTGACACAAAGACTGTTTGAGAGCCACCGGTGCAACTTAGCTCTTGTCTAGAAATTCTGTCCATAAAAATTATGAATATAAATGGTGTTGAGGACAGTCGTGGTTAGGGATGGGTATCGTTTAGGTTTTATCCGATACCGGTGCCAAATCGGTACTTTTGAAACGGTGCCGGTGCTCAAACGGTGCTCAAACCGGTGCTTAAAGAATGGAGAACACAAAATTGGTCCAAAA